GTGGTCATTCCAATGTGGTCGTACCAATTGGCTTTTTAGCAATCCCAAAGTGTAAGTGCCATTTTGCTCACTACATTTCCATGACTGACTTTCTATAGCTGAGCGCAAATATGACAAGGATATAAATTTTCGAGTTTTCAAGAAGAAGCTATACCACAATTCAATTGCAGCAATCCTGAAGTCTCTCAAACCTGCCATGACCTTACCAGTTGTTCGAAAATGCCCAGATGGTCATTTCCGTCATGCTATCTATGATCTGGCAGCCTTCATAGCAGACTACCCTGAGCAGGTCCTCCTAGCTGGTATTGTACAGGGATGGTGTGGCCGATGCCTCTCACCATCTTCCGATCTCAAAGATGGTGCTGATAATCGGACACGCTCACTGGATGGGGTTATGAAGGAAGAATACAGTGGTAATGAGAAGATATTATGGGATAACTTTGGAATTGACAATGCAGTCACTGTGAGCTTTTTCTCTATTCATGACTACTGCTACTAATAATAGCCTACATTTAGCCATTTACTGCTCACTTTCCACGGGCCGATATCCATGAGATGCTTTCTCCAGACTTACTGCATCAGATCATCAAGGGCTGCTTCAAGGATATGCTTGTAGAGTGGGTGTTTGAGTACCTGATTCTTAAGCATGGGGAAGCACATGCTAATGAAATAATGGATGATATTGATCGCCGGTAAGCTAACTTCCAGTAATATCTGTAGGCATGAGCTCACAAAATCCAGGATTGCAATTGTCCCCCCTTTCCCTGGATTACGGCGATTTCCTCATGGGCGGCGGTTTAAGCAGTGGACTGGAGATGATTCAAAGGCACTTATGAAGGTCTGTCTGATATCTTTTCTGTCTGTTATGTTTTCTCATATTGTTGCCAGGTATTTTTACCTGCAGTAGCAGAGTACCTTCCTGATGAAATGATGAAGTGTCTGTCATCATTTCTGGATTTTTGCTACCTGGTTCGACGATCTGATATTGATGAAACTTCTTTGAATGCCATTAAGACTTCTATTGAAGCCTTCCACCAATACCGCAAGATTTTCCAAACCTCCAGGGTACGGGAACACTTTTCCCTTCCTCGCATGCATTCCATTGTTCATTATCCCTTCCTCATCATTGAATTTGGTGCACCCAATGGCCTCTGCTCTTCTATCACCGAGTCCCGCCACATTTCTGCTGTAAA